CGGCTGCAGGGAGAGAGAGCAAACACTTCTGAGCTCACAGTCCCTCTGCCAAGAGGCATTTATTGACCTCCTGCTGTATACTGGAAACAAGACCCCTTGGTGAGCCTCACAAAAGCCTGGCTAGGAAGCCCCCGCCCTGTTGCAGGGGGAGAAACCAGGAGCCCGGGCAGGAGAGTGGGGACGTGGCCCCACTGTGCACAGCTGCTGCCCGGGATGTGCCTACAGTTATCCACTGGTTTCTTTCTCACCGTTCCTCTGTGTGCATCCCCGACATAGCCAGGGAGACAAGGGTGCAGGGCGGTCCCCGCAAGAAGCTGACTTCGAACCCATGTAGGTAGGACCGGAGCTTGGCTGAGGCTCAGGCTAGGCACCCCTATGACGGATGCCTCAGAGCTGGGAGCCCCCACGGACCCCTACACCAGAGCCGGTTCCTCTGGGATTCTCAGGCTGGCCTGTCATCCCCCACAGACCCCAGGACTGAGTGATGTCTCCCCCACACGCACCCCAGGGCAGTGTGTGTCTGTCCCCACAGATCCTCCAGTTCAGGGCCCTGTCTCCTGCTTTGACCCAGGCCTGGCTCCCTCTTCTCCCCCTACCACCACGGGGCCCAAACTGTCAGGGCCAGCGGAAAGCCACCAGGAGCCTTTGTGCGGGGTTGGGGTGCTGAGCAGCCCCCACCTGATGACAACCTGCCAGATGAGCTGCGTTAATGATAACGAGGCCTGGTCTGTTCCAGGATGTGTTGCCAGGGCAACCGGGTGCTTCTTGCCTCATCCCCACCAGCAACTCATGGATGGGCAGCTGGAGTGCACACATATGTGCGTAATGTATGTGTGCACATGTGTAACTGTGCGTGAGGTCACGTGCGAGAGTGCAGTCGTGTGTGCACACGTAGCACCATGTGAGCCTAAACACGTGAGTGCATGTATGCATGAAGGTGTAGCCATGTGTGTTAGCATGCGTGTGTGTGTGTGTGTGCTGGAATGTTTACATGGACTGTGCATGTGTTTCTCTGTGTACACCTGGGTACATGTATGGAACCATGTGTGTGCGTGAGTGTTGCTATGACCAGTGTGGCTGTGCACCTGTGTGTGCATGTGTGCATGTGTGCGTGCTGTGGCTGCTCTGTGCCTCAGGATGCCCTAAAGGACATAACGGGACTTGAGAAGACCCCCTCCCTCCCCTCCTCTCTCCATGCTGGCCCCTCACTGGGAACGCCCTCGCCCATGTTCTTGCACTCTGCCTTGAGGTCTCGAAGCATTGCCTCTTCCTCAGGGCAGCCCCCACCCCAAGGAGGTCAGATCCCCTTTTACATTCCTTGCTAGTGTCATACACGGCCTTGTCATATTGATCTGAACAGAATGATCTGGTGTTTGCATCTGTAGCATCCCAGTGCTCAGGCCAAGGTGCAGATGAAGGAGGTGTCAGCATTCTCTCCTTCCAGCCTGGCCACCATCCTGCATCTTCCTACTCTCCAGATGGCTGTGGACCTCCAGGGCCACCACTAGCAGTAGGCCCCTAATTGGGTACAAATCACAAAATGGTGCCCTTTTCTCAGATTGGAGCCAACAAAGGGGACAGCAGAGCAAAACATGAGGACTTATGCCTGGCAACATAGTGAGCGCCTTGATCCAGCTGTGCCTGAAGTCCATTACTGTGCACCATTTTAGTTCAGAGGGCTAATAAAGTCCCTTCTTTGCTTAAGCCAATTTGACTATTTCTTTTTTTTAAATTTGCAACCAAAGAACACTGATACAGCGTTTCCAGTCCAAGGAAGGAGGAACAGCACTGACAGAAGGGTGCCCCAGTCTGACACGGGAAAGGAAAGTAGAGAAAGAAGGCAGAATCTGGAAGGCCTGGGATTTGTATGTCCCACAGAGCTGGAGAAGGTGGCTCTGGAGTCAGGGAGTGAGCTTCCATCAGGGCATCAATCAAGGAAGGCTTTGGAGGAGAGCAGACTCTGAAAAAGGGAAGGAGCAGAGACATTCCAGAGCCAGAGGGAAGGGGCTTTGGAAACCAGCCCACCCGGGCCTCCATCCCACCCCACCACAGCCCAGACTGCACGCCTCACCCCAGTCTGACCCCTGCCTTCACCCGCTGCCTGAGCTCTGAAACTCCATGGTTCCTGTGGCCCCACACTTTGGCACTGGAGACCTGCCCCCTGGGCCCCACTCTGGAAGCCGGCAGCGGCAGCGTTTCCGGCTGTGCACTGCCGCCTCCCCCGGCCCAGCACGCCCACCTCCCAGGCACTCCACTTCTGGGGGTCTGGATCTGAAGCCTGATAGGCGCAGGGCGCGTTCCACGGTGGAATTCAAGACTTCGATTTTCCTGTCGCGCTGTAGCCCGGGGACTGTCACACGGCCTTTCTGGTTCTCGGGCTCCCCAGGCGGACGCTTCTGCTGCGATGAGGCCCAGGCTCACGTGTGGAAAGAGCTTCGCGCCCAGGCGCGGTCCCCGGCAGCAGGCGCAAAGTGGCGATGGTATTAACATAATCCCATTAGATGGTAATGACAGGCCGCCACCACAGCCACGGAGGCCCGGGCTCCCTCGGCCTCCCTATGCCTGGGGCCTCTCCTGTCCTACCTGCCCCGCCTTGCCCCAGTGTGGGATTCAATTAAGCTTTTGTTTTCTTCTCAGCAACTCTGCGGGTGAGGAGAGGCTGCTCGCAGCCGGCTCCGCTGACGGGAAGAGAAAAATGACTTCAATAAAAAGGAACCTCGGAGCCGGGAGCAGACTTGGGATGCGCACCCCTCCCCGCGCAGCCGCCTCCCCGAGGCCAGAGTCCTGGCTCCACTGCGCACAGGCTGGCACCGCT